AGGTCATTGGCCTTTGGGTCGTGTTTCCAGCACAACATCTGGCCCTGATGGTCACGTACGAGTTGTGAAAGTCCGAGTTGGCGATAAAGTGATCACACGCCGTATCACGAAGATCTGTCCATTGGGCGCGTAAGCAGCAATGGTGTTCCGCGTTATTCCATCTAACAAGCTGTTAGTCAGAGCTTGTGGACTCTTTATGTTCTTGTACGCTATGCTTATCGTTTATGTTCGATATTTGCTCAGCTGCATATTGTGAGGGGGAGAATGTGCGTGAGGTATACGTGAGTGCGTGGAGCGTGTACAGTGAGGTGCGCTGTGTTATTGTTCAGCTATCATTCTGTGCATGGTGGTAAAGGCTTTGTGCTACACACGTGTGTAAGGCGATCTCTAGTCACCACCTAGCACCTCCCATGTACAGTACATCACACCGTGCATGTCTTACACGCCTCTTGTTTTCCACCACCAAACGCTAATAGATGACCTTCACCATCTGAAGGTCAGTGGAAATGCTCTTGAGTGGTTAAAGGGGCTCCCTGGTGGTATGTTGTGTACTGCACTTGCCTGCGACCCGAGAGGTCGCGGGTTCGAGCCCTGCAGTCGCACATCTGACTGCAAAATCCCCACGACGCATTTCACCAGATCAAGGTGTGGGTCCTCTGCACTCAATAGAGTCCAATCGAGCGAGCTGCAACTCCTGGTGCCGAAAGGCGGGCTAACGCCCCTACATGGCTACTTTCCCTTGTCTAACCCCCAAGACTAAATGATAGTAGCCGACTGGCCAAAATTTAAAAAAAAGTCGTATCTGTCTCACCGACAGCAACGCGTAGAAGTGAACGGAACCACAAGTGACTGTAGAACCTGCTCTAAGGGCGTTCCCCATAGTTCCGTCCTAGGCCCTACCCTCTTCAGCATCTACACTCGACTTGTCCCACTCTGCCGTTGCGTTCCCAATGCCTTCTTTATGCAGACGACACTGCCCTGTATGCCTCTGGAAAGTGTCCACGAATTCTCATGTCTTACTTAGAAGAAGATTTTTCAGTGGTGTAGCAGCACCTCACAGATCGCGGGCTGCTCCTGAATTACAGCAAGAGCCAAGTACTACTGATCCACAGCAGACGCTCACATCCTCCACCTAACCTGAGCATTGTCTGTGATTCGACTGTTATTGCCCCGTCTGACGAAGTTAAGTATCTAGGACTGACTCTCGATTCAACTTTAAGTTTCAGTGCCCACGCTAACTCCCTCAGGGAAGATATCGGAAATAAACTAGGTGCTTTTCGACGTGGAAGGAGGAACCTTGCTGTCCAGGCCAGAAGGCAGTTTTACTTGTCAGTAGTCCAGAGCAAGCTCGAGTACGCCAGCACTGCCTACGTCCACTGCCTCGCTGACAAAGTGAGAGATCAACTGCTACGCATAAGTAAGAGAAGACTTAGAAGCATATTTGAGCATGACACATTCACGCGGACATCATGCTTTAGCGATACCACATAATTAGCTCAGACAAAAGATATTTGTCATATTAAGTCCATATTCTTCGTGTTCCGTTGCATCCACAATATCTGCAGTTCACTCCTCTCTGTCATGTTCTTCCTTCGCCGTGACTGCGCTCACACAGATAGAGCCAAGTCAAGCCACGGCCAAGTCAATTATTCCCTTTCCTTACCCATTTTGCAAGCTCAAGCTGGATACAGATCTATTTCATTCCTTGTTGCTGACCGCTTTAATGCGCTTCCCGAATCCCTTCGCACAAATCATATCCCCGATTCATTTCGCCAGGAACTTAACAATTTCATTCATCTTGGGCACCCTGTAAGAAGACCTTAGGGTCTGTTGGGAATGCCCAAGTAAAATAATAACATACAATACAATACAATACAATTGTTTTGATTAGCATGTTCTGCCATGCGTGGCGCGTGTAGTATACCTCCATGGCGATGTATGATTCAGCATTTCATTATATGCCAGGTTTGCGGATTGTTAGTTCCGGTTCTGCTGTCCGCCTACGCTTACCCATGTACTCTGTGTAGATCTAACTTACGCTCAGTTCTTTAGTGGATTCGAACAGACTTTTCTTCTCGATGATGATGGTAGTTTAGGTTTTTGCTTTGAGTTAGTTTGCGTGAGGGTCAAGAAATATCTGTCTCAGTTTCCAGCCGCTGACTTTGCGTTGTGAGTGACCGAACGGGGACCTTGGTGCTACGTAGGGAATCCTACAAAACTGATTCCGATCGCGGTTTCACTATTCACTCATGACGTCATCAGGGCTCGCTCGGCAAAATTTAATTCAAAAAGTCGTCTTCCCACTCGAACCGATCGTTTCTGGATTCTCGTTCTTGGTGGAGAAGTGTTCTTTTTCACATACGGTCGTCATAATAATAATAATAGTAATAATAATAGCACATTTCGCGTAGTAGAGCACTAAATAAAGAAATTCAGTGTTTTTTCCGCTTCTGTCTTGTGAGCACCATCAGTCAGGTGTAGTAGCTGCTGATACTGATTTCTCCTCGGGTGTCGATCTGCACAGTTTCTTCCAGTCTGTCTTGTCTGCTGCTTGTTGTAACACCTAGAAAGGTCTTCCATGGTCTTCATTGGCACACCCAGCTTATTCAGCTGAGCGACCAGACTTGTGGCCAGTGTCAACCTTGGCGGTCGTCATGGCATCGAAAATTGACATCAAAAATGAACCTGGAGTTCTCCCAAGACCAGAGCCGGCAATATCTTACTGACCCTGAACCTTAAATTCGCTCCAGCAAACATTGGCATGATACTCAAGGGTAGGATTAAATGAAATATGGGCGACGAAGTTGACAGTTATATGCTAATATAGTCCTCTACCTACTGGCTACCTATCTCTCTACCCACCTACCCACCTACCCACCTACCTACCCACCTACCTACCTACCTACCCACCTACCCACCTACCCACCTACCTATCTACCCACCTACCTATCTATTTACCCACCTGCCTACCTACCTACATACCTACCTACCTACATACCTACATACCTACCTACCTACCTACATACCTACATACCTACCTACCTACCTACCTACCTACATGTACATACCTGATAATACTACATATGTACTTACCCATATACATGTACATGTCATTAATACCCAACCCCTGCCTTACTCACTTGCGTGTTAACTTAACCTCGCCTACTTGGAGTGAAAGATTGCATTAACCTAACGAGATACTGATTGTACCGCAACACTACTTGTAGTGTAGCAGTAGAACATAATTATGGCAATTCGATTCGCAGGTTGTATCTTCACTTCCTTGTTATTGGGTTTTTTCATTATGTGTCATGAAGTGCGAACAGTAAATAAATATAAAAATCCTACACCTACAGATCAATGCATCCCTTCACCTCATTGGAACTGCCCCCCCCCCCCCTCCCCCCCTGAGCCTTCCAAGTTGGGGGGGTGTTGGTTTGCACTTCGTGGATGTGTTGGAGCTAGGTGTCAGGGCTAGCCCTTTCCCAAAAATGCCTTAATTTTTCGCAACTTATGCTTTTCGCAACCGTGCCAAAACAAGTGCTAGTTGCTGAAATCGCAGCCATCGTTTCTGAAAATGCTCAAAAGTTGCTATTATCGCAACTTAAAACTGGAGAGTTCTTGTGCAAAAACCACCAAAAAAGGAGCAGAAATACGCATTAGTAGAAATGCAGCGACAGAAAACTCGTAGTCGTACACCCCTTCCTGCTCAGGACCTGCTCTGAACCACCACTTTACACAGTGCCAGTAGCCTGTTGCATGTGTCCTACAGTATTCCAGTGTGCGGAGGAGGGAATGCACATTATCGTAATTACTGTTGATTTTTATTTATTTTTTATTTATTTCACTTTCCCGTGGCCAGAAAATATAGGCCAATATGGAGGGAGGGGGGGGGGGGCGGTAGCCAGCCATGGCAGTAAACAAAAAACAAGCGAAACTAAATAAATATTACACATTACTGGAGGCAAAGAGAAACAAATCTGGATGAAGAATTAGCAGTTATTAGAACACGAGCTTCATGTTGGCCTTGAAATCCTTTAGCGTACAAGATGATTTTACTGATAGAGGCAGGGCCAGCCAGAGAGAATAGGCAGCGAAAAACGGAGATCTGGTGTAAGCTGAGGTTCGGGCTTTAGGTAAAGTGGAGGGATTGCGCGTAGGACGAGTGGGAAGAAACCAGTTATATTTACGCAAGTGTGGCGGGGCTTTGTCAAGACGAATAGAATGAACAACAATACACAGTTTTCGATCCGCTTGACTAGAGATAGGGAAGGTGTTAAACATATCATACAGCTCGGCAGAAGGAAAGTATGATGGTTTGCGGAAAAGGACTTTGAGTATCATCTTATTGTGGACATCCAGGGTACTCATTAACGATTTACTTAGTAGGGATGACCAGGCGGTTGAGCAATAGAGAAAAATGGGGAGAAAATAGCAATGATAAAAAAGGCGAATGCATTCAAGCGGTAGGTGGGAGCAGTGAGACACGAGGTAGCCAACAGCTTTACTGACTTTGCTACAGATATAGTCGACATGTCCACTAAACGATAAGTCTGAGTCAATGACCAAACCAAGATGTTTGTGCTGTTTTACCACTGTGAGGTCTGTGAGATCTACTGTTTCTTTGAAATGAGTCTGAAGGCAGGCGAGAAATGAGCGAGTATGCATTTGTCCGACATGCAGTCCGTGACTTGACCTTTTGAACCCATATCTAAGGGCCAAGGTTCCGGAAAAGTTGCGAAATAGTTGGCGAAAATGAAGAAAGTTGCGAAAGTTGCGATTTCTTCCTAAACAACGAAAAGTTGCGAAAAAAGTGGCGAGCATCTTTGGGAAAGGGCTATTCAGGGCATCGAATGTCTCAATATCCTTGCCAGTGTTGTGCCTTTAGGTCGCGCTATCTGACTGTATAAGATCTCGTTGCCGTGGTGGACTGTTTGTCATAACTACTTCAAGTAGTAAATTATTGTCCTTTCTCTTTACATTTCATTATTGCATTTTACCTTCTTGATTTCCCTGAACTTCGTTGAGCCTTTCATTCTGTGGAAAACCCCAACAAGAGCAAACAACATAATTTTTTTACTGTACTACATGTATGATTGTAAAGATGAAAAAAGCATTCGAGCTCACAAGCTCGTTCCCATAACTCTGAGAAACACAGAACATAGTTTTCAGCTTTTCACATCATGCAATTGTACTTTTAGCACCGTTTCCGCCTTTTCGCATCAATTTAGTGTGCAAATCTACAGTAATTGTTTGGCTTGTATAATACCGGATTACATGCACTCATAAAGCATTCATTATCTTGTAGGGGAAGTGAGCTTAAAGGGGCACTCCGGCTTCATTTTCGACGCCGAGTTCTCGATGCCAAGACAAAGGTAGGTGAAAGAGAAGACCCCTCGAACAAGATAGAGTCTCCAGAACCGATCGAGTCGAGCAGGAAGACGACTTTTGAATTTCGCCGAGCGAGCGCTGATGACGTAATGAGGGATTAGCTTGCCAGTGGAAATGCACCTCCGCACACACATTTCACATACTTTTTGGCCAATTTTCAATCGAAGAGGAGGTTGTTTGCTATGTTCTTTCAACGTCGTGAGCGATCCCGTCTTCTATACCCTTCCAGGTACCCTGAAGGTCCTCCAGAGGAGAATTTATCTCCAGCAAAGCGTTGTTGATCCGCTAAATTCGTCTTGAGACATATTCACCCAGTGCAGTGCTGATAAATGTAGAATATTGAATCTGTGATAATTGTCGACAATGGAGAGAGAGGCTGATAGCCGCTGTCGCAGGGAGAGCGAAGCTGTTGGAATTAACAACTGGGAGCCCGTTTGTATCACCTGAACAACCAGACTTCAAAGCAGCTTGACCAAATCGGAGGGTGCCTTGTTGCTTGTCGTGAATATTACACCGACATGAATTACTACAATTACAAGTATACTGGTGAGTTTTATCTTGTTTTGTTCGTATGCTAGTACCCTGGCCTGGAGTTCTCGTTAGCAAATTCCTATTCCCTGGCGTTTTCTAAACATTCCGTGTAGTACTGAATACGTGATCAAGTATTCCGATTTGGGTAGATGTGGAATTTGGACATGCTTTTTATATAAAAATTCTATTTTCCAAATAGAGCGTTTGTAGAGAAATGGTTGCCCAAATACAACTTGTACTGAAATCCAGTTAAAGTAAAAATGATTCTTCATGACAGTTGGGGTCAATGAAATCTGATCCAGGCATAACGAATTGTGACGCCTGTCACCCCTGGAACAAATGCAGCAGCCCCAGGTGTTCTAAGTGGAGTAGAACGCAAGCGCCTTGCAGTGCTGCATATAGGAAATGTTGAAGTTGGCTGTGAGGCGCAATCTATTGTCAGGTAGCAGAACACCTCTTCTAGCGCTGAGGACATGTCCCCCATCTTCCTTTTGGGGTTTTCTTGAAATAAACTTTTTTGAATTTTTCCACTCGACCATGCTGAAATACGGCCAAAGTCATACCTGCGCAGGAAAGCTCGCCCCTCCACGGCGTCTCCTCAGCAATTTCTACTCCAACGCTACTCCCAAGGCCGCAGAACGAAGTGTAGTGTTGGCTCTGACAAGGAAAAGCAGCGGTGATCACTTGTCACTCCAAACGACAAGCTTCTCCTTGCACCACCAATAATTTTTTGTGCGACTGTTGATGCAAAAGTGACTGAATTCCTGAGCGCAGTTTTTGAATTTTTTTGCAAGATGCACGTAGAGATCGCGTGCTCTGTGACGTAGGATGACGCTTCCTGGATCACGACACGCGGCCATCGATCGGGAACGTGACTGGAACGCTACTCGGAACAGACCATGATGGCAGAGGTGAGATGAGCTGTATTTCCTGCTTGATCTACTGAGAACCCTCACAAACTGTCCTAGGAGTGTTGCAATGTCAGCAAGCCGTTGAAATATGCCCAGCATTGAGAGTTACTGTATTCATCTTTCATACTTACCTCCTGCAATCCGAACATAGTCCAACGGTAAAAGTCCCTTGTTTTCATGTCGATGCTCGACAATAGCTGCTAGCTCGGTCGCTTTGTGTTGACTGGCACGCGAGCAGCACTGGCTGCACGAACTTGTCGCGTGAACTGCATGAGAGATTTCTTACGTCATAAAGAATGTTATTTCATCATCATTTCACTGGTCTTCGACTACATGGTCAGGGAAAGTCCCGGTTCGTAGGCCTAAAAACATGGTCAGCGTGTTCTTGAGCGCAGCGCGCAGTAACAACACAAGTGTGATCACATCCAGACCAACGGGGGTTCAAGGCGAGTAACAAGCGCACTTGACGAAGGTGACTTTGAAATCTCGTGAGCCGTGATCCACGCGACTTGGCATTCTTGCGTCACAAGGCACGTGATTTCACCGTGCCTCTTGTAGTAAAATTCAAGAATTGCGCTCATGCCTTCAGTCACTTTTGCATCAACAGTCGCACAAAAAAATATTGAGTCTCGAGACGAATTTAGCGGATCAACAACGCTTTGCTGGAGATAAATTCTCCTCTGGAGGACCTTCAGGGTACCTGAAAGGGTATAGAAGACGGGATCGCTCACTACGTTGAGAGAACATCGAAAACAACCTCCTCTTCGATTGAAAATTGGCCAAAAAGTATGTGAAATGTATGTGCGCAGATGCATTTCCACTGGCAAGCTAATCCCTCATTACGTCATCAGCGCTCGCTCGGCGAAATTCAAAAGTCGTCTTCCTGCTCGACTCGATCGCTTCTGGAGACTCGTTCTTGTTCGAGGGGTCTTCTCTTTCACCAACCTTCGTCTTGGCATCGAAAACGTGGCGTCGAAAATGAAGCTGGAGTGCCCCTTTAACTACACCGACTCTGGTTCAGTCATGGCAAAGTTATTTATAGCTTGGTACACACATGTTGTACTAGTATAATGGACGCAATCCACCATATCATGAACTCACCAGGGCGGCAACTTGAGATGACATCTGATTCATAGTGGAGTTAACATTAGTAAGAATCTTCGTGCCCAGTTGCTCAAGATATGAATCAATACGATTGATATCATCACGTCTGCCCGCACGTAGTTCAAGTTTCAGTTGTTGAACATCCTCACTGACTTGATGTAATGTGTTGGATTGCTGTTTAAACTTAGCTGCATCAAACCACTCTGGAGAGCAAGCAAAGCAAAAAAATCACGTTTCGTATAAGGCTCGATCAGGTTACATTCGCTTCATCAGGATTACTATTTTATTGCCAGTCATCGACAAGCACCATCGAAGTCCCCAGAGTTTTCCGAATCGCTTTCCTCGCCAAGTTCATCAGTGGATATTTGTCGCTAGACTAGAGCAATGAAGGCTACAAAATCAATAAAGATTCATTCTACAAGTACGTTTGAATATTATTAGCAGCCATCGTTCAATCGTTTACTGTCTAGAAGTCATCCTATGACGCGGTAATCCCCTCTTTCACAAATGTGATGATCCATCCATATACAACGTGAATTGTGGTTTCTCGTTTTAATCGAACAGAACTGGAAAATTGTTCATCTCCAAGAAATTGAAATCGCTATTGTTTGTGTGCTAGTGTAACATGAACGAGGGGAAGGTGTGAAGCGGCAAAGGGAAAGTGAGTAGCTTGGACATCATTGCTACACACAGATTCTCACGTGTATCACCCAGGCAACTCACAACTTCCTAGAAGTTGGACGACAATAAGACACGCATGATATATGTCACATCGTCTAGGTCACAACCAATGGCCGATGCCCCCCCCCCCCCTCGCCCCCTGCCAGCGCCCTACCGGATTATCAGAGAGTTGAAAGCATCAGCCAGCCCTGATTTTGGGAACCTTTAGAAATTGCTGGTTGTGGTGATCTAACGGTATCTACCAACTTTGCTAGGAGCATTAATTTTACTGATGCTTCTTTGTGCTCCGAGAATGGATGGTGGAATGTCCTTACAAGAGAAAACATCATTGCGTTTGATTATGATGCGAGCCAAGATAAGGATTAGTGATGGGAATTGTGAACATGATATTTCCTAACGATTTCTTAAACACAGTACCACTTTCCACTTGATAAGATCAGCATCAATGTGTTCTCTTTTACACTTACTTTCTTCACAACGTTTTCCAATAAACAATGGTGGACAGTGACAATGAAATGATGATCCTTTCTGTTGACATGTTGCCCCGTTCTGACATGGATTACCAGAACAGGATGGCCGGACTGTGATGTGGGGATGGCAAACAAAAGAAGGACAGGATGAAAGAGGCTGCATTTTAAAGTGATAATCTCGCATGGAACTCAGATAGAAGGCAAATAAGACCAATTGAATTTCACCGTTCCTCTCCACACATCTTACATGAAATATTTTGTGTAGCTTGTTTGAGTAACAGAAAAAATGTGTAATTTGAATGTTCGAAGATCTTATTTCCAGTGAAACAAAAGAAATACCGGGACACGGTGATTAATCAACAGCATGCATGTACACTTTACATTTATCTTCAAACTTTCTCGTTTGCACTTGTCCCTCAAACCAATGAATATTGTTCAGGAAGTTCGAAGATACCTTTGTTTCTTATTGCTGTGTACTGAAATAAGGTTAAACAATGTCAAGTGTTACACAGAAAGGCAGTAATGTGGGCAGCCACGGAATACACACCACATAAATAACATAACACATGATTTCCCATCTATCGCGTGCAACCGTGCAAGTAAAAGTAGGAAATGCAATGCGTTTGCTTATCCTAAAACAGAGTGAACGAAAATATAAAAATTACACATGCCTCCGTCCTAACAATGATCACTGATTACCGAGGAAAAATTATGATTGGTTTTGTACCCTAACAGAAGTAGTTTTATTAATAATTACCTGTCTGACAAAACTTTCCAGTATGACCATCATCACATTTGCAAGTGTATGAGCCTTTTCCTTGTATAGAACGTGTGAAAATGCATTTTCCAGCATCGCTACACTGGGGACTTTGTCGACATTGCTCAAGCTGACCACCTGCATAAAACAAGAATCACGTGACACACAAATGTGGCCAGAACAAGTTTAAAAAAAGAAGAGAGTTCTAATACGTATCAACACTGTTGAGTTGTTCGATGTTAAATAAATACTACTCCTACTACCAATGCTGTTTTCCCTCTGCTAGAACGCAAAGCAAATAGAAGATACGACAGACTCCAGCGGGTTTCGAATGTTCTTCTGAGTTTCGTGTATGAGGCGATGTGTTGGTGAATGAGATTTGTGTAACTGCTGCCGTGAAAGGACGACATGCACACGAACATCGAGTTGATGACTTCGTAAAAACATGGAATCGTATTTACGCAAGAGGTACACAAAAGGAAGTATATAGGGCTGTTTTTTGTTGTAACTCAGAGTTTCATGGCAAAAACCAATCATCAGACAACATAAGGAGATTAGAAAAACGCAGGTATATGAAGGCAAGCAGAGGAGATAGAATAATTCAGTGCAGACAATATGATAATCATTCAACACCTCCCAGAGGCAGTCCGCTCTGACGTGCCAGAATCAACATCTCAGGTGCTGGGTGAAACATGAACACGCACACTCATCCACACACACACACACACACACACACACACACTAATCCACACACAGCCTCTCGTTCTCACACACTCCACACTCCCGCATTATCACACCTAAACACATGCGCACGCACACACACACACACGCACCAAAACACACACATGCACCACACACACACATACACACAGCCTCTCGTTCTCACACACTCCACACTCCCGCATTATCGCACCTAAACACACACACACGCACACACACACACACACACCAAACACACACGCACCACACACGCATGCACCACATACACATACCTACACACAGCCTCTCGTTCTCACACTCTCCACACTCCCGCATTATCGCACCTAAACACACACACACACGCGCGCGCGCGCGCGCCAAACACACACGCACCACACACACATACACAGACACACACACACATACACACATACACACACACGCCAAACCCATAGCACGTCATACACGTTATGTCACTTCATAACCCAGCAAAAACTTGCGCTGGTGGCGGCACTTTGATACTAACTCGCTCCTTTTGTTAAGTGAGATGGCATTTGGAGTGGTGAGGATGTGAAACTTCTCCGTGAGGCACAGACCGCATCGTTTGCTGATGTTGCTGTAGGATGGGGCGCGATCTTTTATTTTCCAGCTGATGTCAAAGTTGCGCTGGGCGTTCTGAAGGTCCCAAATATGTTTTGAGAGCTCCGTCGATGTAGAGTATTTCTCATGCCGGAATGTTGTGGAGTGGTTGTTGTAGCGCGATTTAAAGGTGTTGGCCGTCAGTCCGGTGTATGTCTTGGTCTGGGGAGATGACACATGTGACTGGTATATGACGTCAGTCGACTAAAAAGAAGGAAGCGGCGTAGCAGAGATGTGATTTGGTTTAACCCGCCCTATAGCACAACGGTCAGAACCAACGTTGGTGCAAGGTTCCTGGGCCTCATCAAAAAGCATTTTCCAAAGGGTTCGGCACTGAATACAGTGACGAACCGGAACAAAGGAAAAGAAGGAAGCGGCGTAGCAGAGATGTGATTTGGTTTAACCCGCCCTATAGCACAACGGTCAGAACCAACGTTGGTGCAAGGTTCCTGGGCCCCATCAAAAAGCATTTTCCAAAGGGTTCGGCACTGAACAAGATCTTCAACAAAAACAAGATAAAAATCAGCTACAGCTGCATGAGAAACGTAGCCTCCATCATCAAAGGTCCAGCCAAGGCCGCCCGTTGAGCCTTGTAACTGCCGGGTCAAGCCATCCTGCCCGCTCAAGGGGAATGCCAGTCGACTGACGTCATATACCAGGCACATGTGTCATCTCCCCAGACCAAGACATACACCGGACTGACGGCCAACACCTTTAAATCGCGCTACAACAACCACTCCACAACATTCCGGCATGAGTAATACTCTACATCGACGGAGCTCTCAAAGCATATTTGGGACCTTCAGAACGCCCAGCGCAACTTTGACATCAGCTGGAAAATAAAAGATCGCGCCCCATCCTACAGCAACATCAGCAAACGATGCAGTCTGTGCCTCACGGAGAAGTTTCACATCCTCACCACTCCAAATGCCATCTCACTTAACAAAAGGAGCGAGTTAGTATCAAAGTGCCGCCACCAGCGCAAGTTTTTGCTGGGTTATGAAGTGACATAACGTGTATGACGTGCTATGGGTTTGGCGTGTGTGTGTATGTGTGTATGTGTGTGTGTGTCTGTGTATGTGTGTGTGGTGCGTGTGTGTTTGGCGCGCGCGCGCGCGTGTGTGTGTGTGTGTGTTTAGGTGCGATAATGCGGGAGTGTGGAGAGTGTGAGAACGAGAGGCTGTGTGTAGGTATGTGTATGTGGTGCATGCGTGTGTGGTGCGTGTGTGTTTGGTGTGTGTGTGTGTGTGCGTGTGTGTGTGTTTAGGTGCGATAATGCGGGAGTGTGGAGTGTGTGAGAACGAGAGGCTGTGTGTATGTGTGTGTGTGGTGCATGTGTGTGTTTTGGTGCGTGTGTGTGTTTGGTGCGTGTGTGTGTGTGTGCGTGCGCATGTGCTTAGGTGTGATAATGCGGGAGTGTGGAGTGTGTGAGAACGAGAGGCTGTGTGTGGATTAGTGTGTGTGTGTGTGTGTGTGTGTGGATGAGTGTGCGTGTTCATGTTTCACCCAGCACCTGAGATGTTGATTCTGGCACGTCAGAGCGTACTGCCTCTGGGAGGTGTTGAATGATTATCATATTGTCTGGACTGAATTATTCTATCTCCTCTGCTTGCCTTCATATACCTGCGTTTTTCTAATCTCCTTATGTTGTCTGATGATTGGTTTTTGCCATGAAACTCTGAGTTACAACAAAAAACAGCCCTTTATACTTCCTTTTGTGTACCTCTTGCGTACTACGCTCTGCCCATTCCGGGCATTTGAGCACTATTGCAGGTTAAGGCGCACACCCTCTGTGGAATCGTATTTATGGTTGTCTAATAATTTAAAAATACAATATAATAAACAGACGGCGAGGAGAAAATAATTTGATAACCGCAATAGATAAAATTAGCTGAACTGACATTAATTTGTGTACTTTATTCATGCAATGTAAAAACGGTGGAGACGATGTGCAATATAACGATGAAAGTATGAAGAAATGGTGATGAGAAAAAAGGAATTTATTCAAACAAGTTTTCGTACAACACTCATCAGGAATCGTCATTGTACTAAAGGACTCTGAAACAAAAATTGAACTGTTATATAAAATCTAATTTAGAGAAATAACACTAAGAACAACAGCATTGAAATTATACAAGTGTGAATTTTAACAATCAAAGCGAGAAATGAACAAACAAGAGAAAGAAAGAAGGAAGGACAACATAACAGCAGTACATTTCACCTAGAACATTAACGGCCAAGCTTGGCCCCACCAAACACGACACGTTACTTGAACAAGTTCAACCCAATTATACAATCTTTCTGTACACACGAATTAGGCTTATACAGACGCTGATAGATAGCTTCGAACACTTTTAACTGTAGTCCATAACCATGACGAGCACGGCACAATACAGTGAACGAAGAGTCGGAAACGAATTGCAACAATCAGGACTAGGTAGCAGATGATTGTACACTGAAGACTTGCTACAACGAAACCTACGCACAACACTAACACTCTCACCGGCACTCTCACCATCACCCCCATCACTGCTCTCCAACTCACTGCTCCCTTCGCCGTCCGTTCCATCTTCCGCTTCCTCTGCACTCTCTCTCTCTCTCTCTCTCTCTCTCTCTGTCTCGTCCATCCCGCCTGACCGGGTCCATTGAACTCAACTCGGCCATCACCCTACTGTCACGTCCCTCCTTTCGCCCTTGTGCGTTGAGTTCGTAGCTTCTGTTGTAGTTGGCTGTTGATCGTCTTGGTCTTTCAAGTATGGGCTTGGGTGGTGGATTAGTTGTGGTTCCTGTAGATTGCGTTGTTGGTGTTCGTGTGGGAGCTACTGATATGCAAGGTGGGTCTTTTTGAATCGGCATTTGCAGTCCAAAAAAGTCCAAAAAATCACGTTAAAAAAACACGTATTGGGCTGCACGGCGGCGGGCGAAGCCCGCCACCATGCAGCAAGACTTTACCAGCACCCTCGTGACGTTGCAGATATGTGGCTTGATTATTGTAGTTGACGTTCATTAAATGAACGTCAACTACAATAATCAAGCCTTGACCTTGGCAAGCTTGAGTCGTGTCAAGAAGTCAGGTAGGATTCAGTACTAGGCAGTAGTGGAACGTGATTGGTAGTCTTTGCCAGTTTCTGAGGGTATCCTGGATTTGGTGTGCAGCGCTATGGAAATGGCTTGCTGTGGAGGTCCCAGCACTGGATGTTGTATCAAAGGTACGACCTCGTAGCACGTGCTAAACCTAAAAAAATTCAAAAATTGACTTGGGTCTGTGGGAGTCTGTGAAAGAACGCCCACTCGTTCCGTTGTGACAGATTCCAGGGCAACGTTGAGGAGCCCTACCCCACCACCCATGGCTGCTTCTGGACTTGTTTTAGGTTTGGGTCCCGCGCACGTACAGAATGGGCACGAAGATGTGAAAAAATTGTAAATGCATTTGTTTGGCTCCTGGGTGGCTCGCACACCGTGGCACTATGCCGGAAATTTGAGTTTTTCCGGCCTGGAAAGCCTGTCAGTAAGGCGCAAGAACTTGTAAATCATGTCCTGAGGGTCAGCATAGTGGCAGGAGTGTGTTGTGAAAATTTCACTCAAATCCATTGAGAAACACCAAAGTTACGGTGAAATGAATGCCATATGAAATTTATGGGTAGGCTACCCCCTTAATTTAAATTTAAATTTAAATAACCGCAATCAATAAAACTAGCTGAACCGACATTTGTGTACTTTATTCATGCAATGTAAAAAGGGTGGAGACGATGTGCAATAAAACGATGAAAATATGAAGAAATGGTGTAGGGAAAAAATATGGTTTCAAACAAGTTTTCGTAGAACACTCATCAGGAATCGTCGTTGTACTAAAGGACACTGAAACCAAAATTGAACTATTATAGAAAATCTAAGTTAGAGAAATAACACTAAGAGCAACAACAGTGAAATTTACAAGTGTGAATTTTAACAATCAAAGCGAGAAATGAACAAAGGAGAAAGGAAGGAAAGACAACGTGATAACACATAACAGCAGTACATTACACCTAGAACATTAACGGCCAAGGTTGGCCGCACTAAACACGACACGTTACTTGAACAATTTCACACTTGTAAATTTCACTGTTGTTGCTCTTAGTGTTATTTCTCTAACTTAGATTTTCTATAATAGTTCAATTTTTGTTTCAGTGTCCCTTAGTACAACGACGATTCCTGATGAGTGTTGTACGAAAACTTGTTTGAATCCATATTTTTTCCCTACACATATTTTCATCGTTTTATTGCACATCGTCTCCACCGTTTTTACATTGCATGAATAAAGTACACAAATGTCGGTTCAGATAGTTTTATTGATTGCGGTTATCAAATTGTTGTCTCCTCGCCGTGTATTTAAATTTAAATTGTAATAGTAGAAAGTAAAAGAACATATGGAAACGAGTTAAGAGTAACTCTCCACCACTGTAACAAGGTACTAAATACAGTCAGAAAGTGCAACAACTAGGCACAAAACTGACAGAGTACTGAGACATTCGACGTCCTGACACCAAGCTTCGACACATCTCCTTAGCGCTAACCGACAGCCTTCCAACTTGGAAGGTTCAAGGTTATGGAAAGACCAAAGAGGGGAAGGCAAGCGCAACGAAAACGAGCACAAGCTACAGTCCCAACGGAGCAAAGAATGTCGATTGTCACTGGACGATGACGAGACCAGTAGGCGATTTGACAAAGCGGTCTAACTACAATTCGAAGCAGCAAAGCAGCACACCACCCAACTTGGTTGGGTCAAAAATATCAAAGATAAGTTAAAAAGGGGGAAGCTTTGCGAGAACGAATTGTACAAGCCGAAATCTAAACTCCTACAGTACTCCTCATGCATGACATTGTGATGGACTAGTTGACTACAAAACAAGTTGTTTCACACGACGTACGTTTCGCCGTATGGTTCGTGACGGCTCATCAGGTGTGCAATTTGAAACTCGGGGATTGAGCCAATAATAAAAGTACTTGTAGAAAGGAAAAGGACATAATATGGAAACAAGTTAAGAGTAACTCTCCACCACTGTAACTAGATACTATATACAGTCAGAAAGTGCAACAACTAGGCACAAAACTGAGTACTGAGACATTCGACGTCCTGACACCAAGCTTCAACACATCGGGTCTCGTCATCGTCCAGTGACAATCGAACTTCTTTGCTCCGTTGGGACTGTAGCTTGTGCTCGTTTTCATTTCACATGGTCTATGAACTGTAAATCATGTCCTGAGGGCCAGCATAGTGGCAGGAGTGAGTGGTGAAAATTTCACTCAAATCCATTGAGAAACAACAAAGTAAAGTAAAGTAGATTATCGTGTCCGTTCCCGAAGGGAACTCACGACGGCCGATAACACCCGATAAACTCTTACAACAAAGTTACGGTGAAATGAATGCCATATGAAAGTTATGGGTAGGCTGCCCCTTAAATTTGTTTATGATCCTCGCGATTCCTTGGATCGGAAGCATAATGGGATGAAGTGATCATAGACTTACTCAGACACTGTACCAACAAATCAGCATTCTGCCGTCCACCTAAGAACGCAGATAGTGGTGCTCCGTCAGCATTTGCGGAGTTGAGCTGATCAATGGGGTGACGTAAACCGATTAGCACAGCCTCTGTATCCTGGATGCTGAGCCGCAGAGCCGTAGATGGTAGTAGATGAAGAACTCGTGCCATACACGACTCTACGCGCCAACAAAATAAAGAAAATTGAATCATTGCAAAGCAACAAGTACATTTGTACGTGGAAGAGAATGTATAATTCATTGTAACTCCGAGCTTCACGCACTAGGCGATCACCAGACAACTGTGAACAGTAGTAAGATAAATCTGTATGCTGTTCTTGTTGAATCCTCGCAAAGCAAATGAATGGAGTATTTGCTTTCAGCTACAAAAGTTATAGTGCATTTCATTCATTCTCATTGAAGGCGAAAGTCGTATCGACGGTACGGAAAGAGCGAAGTAGAACTGAGTTGCTGAAGAGTGTAAGCTTTCTGACCAGATGACTTGTAATGTTCAAGTCGGTGCAGTAGTATAGAGCCTATTAGAGGAATCACACTGGCAATGCCCCTACCTGTTTCATTTCCAGCGCTGGAGTGGGTACCTGCAGAAACACTCCTTGCAGACACACTACTGACGGAGGCCGCCAGCCACAATGCTATCCACATAGTGAACGGCGTAGTGGACGAGAGTCTCATTCTGCTTTCGATCAGGGTTGAGTCGTTCACCGAACTGTTAGGATTATTTCTGAATGTGGCGAATCAGCTCCACAAATCGGTACATGTGAGGCGCTCCGACTTCAGAAATAATTATATTTACAATGACGTCAGTATCTCCTACTGATGCTCTAAGAAATCACGACCTTGTACAATTGCTAGCAGTAAAATCATGAATATGATCGTCGACGCTTGCTTTCCCCAGTCATCTACATAATGGAACTAACGCAACATAAGGTTCTAGGTTCAAGCTGAAGAGATTCGGTCAATCTGGTAGTTGACACAAACTCAGTACGGGTGCATTGATCGCATCTAGAAGAGTCAAACGTGTCCAGAACCTGGCACGTTCTTGCACACAAACTGACACTACACTTTCCCGTGTATTCTGCAACTGAATGCTTGGACAGCTGGCCCTGAGCTGGGCTCCACAGATCTGCAGTCGATCATCTTACCTGTCATGATGGAGTACAGAGCATGTGTTCGACATGTCATTGGTTTACAGGCTCCGGGCTTTCACCCTGCTGCTTGCCAACAAAATTATTGATAACAGAATCATTGTGTGTGCTGGCCCGTGGGAGCGCTGTCATCGTTTCTTTGGCGCCAGTGTGCCTCAGTAATGATGATGATGTAATTTCAGAAGCAAGAATTTCTGTCCGCTAGATACTGTAACAGACAATAGATACGGATTAGTCTTACTGGATACACTGATCTACCGTTGTTGGAGACTGCTGGACACAGTGTAAGATACTTATTGTGATGTTTGCTGACGTTGTGATAAACTGTGATGCTCTACACAATATTGTTTAGTGTGTGTTTGAGCTGACTGGTTTTGCCGTACTTGACAAAAAAAGTATCTTCATATTTGGCTTCCCTCGTGTAGCTTCAGAGAAATGTAGACTCCATTCAAAGCCTTGACAACATCCAAATCCCTTTTTCTTTATTCAAAACCTCCCTTTTATGGAATTGTCTCCCACCCACATTGACTTAGGAATCTTCTGTACATGTATTCAAGAAAGAGCTGCGCAAACATTCTTGTCAGTATTCATGTCTACTCGCTGGCATGCCGTTACCCTGTTAATCGTAGTCCTCCCCCCCCCCCCTTCCCAATCTGTACTCTCGTGTACCATCGTCCTTCAATGCGACGGACCCCACGATAGGCGGTCAGCCTTTGGGTCATCCTAATAAAGTTATTATTAGTGTTAGGTACCACCTCCCGTACATTTTCTAGCTGGCCTGCATGCACTTGCGTACGCACCTTTTGTCTCCTTTTGCTCCGTTGGCCTGGGTAGCTACTTGCGCGCCCATATTTGCCATAGCTACCCAGGCCCTTTATCTTGCCGTTTAGACTTGATCTCTCTCTCTCTTTTCTCACTCTTCAATGTAGTCGTTTCGCTCGTCTTGGTCTCTTGTCTCGTCGTCTACTAGTATAATAAATGTCGTTCCCACTAACCTGTTCCCGTTGTAATGTCTGGATACGTTGTCAGTCGTCCTGTTTCGAACTCAACATTGGCGCCCGATTATTGATCGACCCACGACCCTGAGATCATCCCATGCCCAGCCGTCCTCAACCACCATTCGTCTCGTCTATGTGAACCTCGTCTCGTCCATGTCAGTCTCGTCTCTCCTACGCCAACCTCGTCTCGTCTCTATCAACCTCGTCTCTCCTACGCCAACCTCGTCTCGTCTATATCAACCTCGTGTCGTTCAAGCCATGCAGGTCAGCTACCTTTCTCTCTTTCTTTTTTTTGTATGCGTTCCTTCTTCGTCAAATTTATTTTCGTGATTTTTTTGTTAGTGTGTGTGCGCGCGGGTGTCCTTCGTTAATATTAGGGGTCCGATCATGGTGAGCCACGCTCTCTTATTTATGTCGTATATTAAAGTGTAACTAGGCTCTATTAGCCGTGCAAAATACTAGTCATCAGAATACAATTCAAGTCCCTCGTCGAACTCAAATAGTTATTTTTTGTGCCATGTTTTGAAGGGGCGTTTGGGCCCGTTGTTATTGGCCTTGTACACACTATAGTATGAGTAGTACAGGAACGTTGACGGTTGTAATGATCTGTAGTGCATTTTTTTAGTACACACTTTTGTGAGGCCCGTGCGTTGTGTGTGTGTGTGTGTTTTTTCTCCTTCAGTCGTTTTTTTTTAATCTTTTTCTCTCTTTTTTTTTCTCTCCGCGAGGACGCGGGATTTTTTCATGGAGGGGTGGTATGTTAGGTACCACCTCCCGTACATTTTCTAGCTGGCCTGCATGCACTTGCGTACGCACCTTTTGTCTCCTTTTGCTCCGTTGGCCTGGGTAGCTACTTGCGCGCCCATATTTGCCATAGCTACCCAGGCCCTTTATCTTGCCGTTTAGACTTGATCTCTCTCTCTCTTTTCTCACTCTTCAATGTAGTCGTTTCGTTCGTCTTGGTCTCTTGTCTCGTCGTCTACTAGTATAATAAATGTCGTTCCCACTAACCTGTTCCCGTTGTAATGTCTGGATACGTTGTCAGTCGTCCTGTGTCGAACTCAACATTAGTATTATTATTATTCATTCATTTTCTAGGTCGCACTAACACACACACGCACGTACACACACACACACACACACACACACATACACACACACACACTCACACAGCCACATGCACCATGTATCATGCATGTACCATATATACGCTCGTCGCAAGAGAAGCACGCAAATAATTTACAAAATTTATTACACTTTTTCTGCACCCACAGGTTTTCTCTCATACTATAGTTATGGCAACGATAAGGGACAAGATCTGAATGAGACAGATCAAGTCTAGCGCCAGATAAATGTCCAATCTACACAATCTTCGAAGCAAGGCGAATCGACCACCAACTCACACCTGGTCTACACCACACGGCCGCAGTACATAGGCATGAAACGGCCAAGACAGAGTTACCTGTGCACACTCTACAGTTGCTGGGGGAACCAGTATAGACAGCACGCTGCTTTGATAGAAGAAGACACTACTAAATCTGAGGACAGAACTGTTTCGTCCTTTGTGGACTCATCAGTGCAGCACAGAGGAAATGAGGCCGAACCGGGTAACAATGAAAAACTTATTCTCCAAAGCCAGATATTATAAACCAGGCCCGAACCTACCTTGTCAGAGTACTCAAACTGGCAAGTCAGTGAGCTCTGCATAACGCGAACATCAAAGGCACTACCCCACAAGTGTGCTCAAATGCTACAAGAACAGAAGCGAAATAAAAAGCAGACACTAACTAATCAGCCTCGGCTACCGAGTACTGGGAACCCAGAGGCAACAGACGTACCAACAACCTCAGCGATGAAAGCTATAATAATTGCACAATGGATTGTGGACCCGAAACTAGTACTGCCTTCCAAATGCTTTGACAAGAAGATAGCCTTCCAATAGGTTGGCACACACACACACACACACACACGCACACACACACGCACACACAACACGCACACACACACACACACACACGCGAACGCATACTACTACTGTAGCTTGGTTGCCACAAGGGCCAAACCACTCCGAAAGGAGCCAGAGTCACTGTCAGGAGCAGAAACGGAGATGACGACTCAGGTCACTCTGTCGACGGAACTGACGGTTGCAGCGAGAACAGCGAACACCATACGACGCTCTATCAGACTTGGTTGCTCGATGGCCACGGTCGCACTTGTGACGTCTGAAACCAGGCACTGACTTGAATTGCCGATTGCATGTCACACACAAGAGAGAAGTTGGGACGTTGAGCGGTATAGGTGATGCCGGCACGGACGCTTCCGATGGCTCCAGGGGCAAACAATGATGTACACGCAAGCCACCACGAGAGTGAAACCACCTCCTGCATGTACCACACTGCACAGCACCACGCTGTTCCTGGATGGGGAGACTTCGTTCTGCGCTACACTTGTGTCTTGCTTTGTCACCTGGCCGACGAATTGAACGGTGGCAGATAAGACAGTCCACCCGTTGAGATTGGTCATGGGAAGGACCGCCGAGGCTCGGTCCAACGGCAGACACCCACCAGGCAGATCGATCCTGAGCAATCCCATACCAAGCCAGATGTTCAATGCCGATGTGCCGAAGATCAGCCGAAATCACATCCCTCCAGCGACGACGGGGACCACACGCAGGCCGAGGCGACGGTAGGAAGCCAAACAACAGCTGCTTGGGCACACGAACATCCGACATGCGGGCCACATGTCCAAGCCATTCAAGCCTCCGCTTCCGAAGCCGGGACGCATACACACACGAACGCATACACACACGCACACACCCAAAACTTTCTTGAAGTAGAATTCCACGAACTACAGTTTACAGAAGGCTCTTTTCATGAAAATTAATGACATGACATTCCAGAGTGACGTAATCAAGTAGGGTACCCCACTGGCCGGAGAATGCGCGATGCCCTTGTACGGCAGAGTATTGAACGCAGCCAGTAGGGGAATGTACGAAGATATGTTACAAATCTGAGTGTCACGTTATGTAAGATTTAGTCGTCCATTACTGGTAGTCTGAAATTAAGGAGGAGCGAGGCAAGGAGGGGAAACAATAACACCACCTTTTGGTTCAGATGATAAGACCATAGAACGGTGGACTGCGAGCCATTCAGTAGTGGTGCAATGGTGGTATACATGCATGAAATGCAATGCATCGCTGAGAAGACTCGGACTGCCTTCTAATTTTTTCCTTGTACACATGATAGGCATGTAACCTCGGTAGGATAGACTACATTTTTGCGGCCCTGCTTCCACCGCTGCTTTGGCAAATCAATTGACATGTTTCTAAACCACTCATTCTCTCTACAGTAGGCTCTATCTGACCGTTGTGTCTTTTAAGTATATAAAAGTAGGAGCCGCACATAATTCAAAGTAAAAGATATAGAGGTACCCTGAAACAGTTGTTTAAGTACTTTAGTTTCCCTTTAAATTTTCACAATTACACATTCCGCTGGGTGGGTACTAAGTGAAGTATCCCTGCCTGGCTAATACGGAAGTAATACGGAAGTAATACGGAACTTTACCTGATGTGTATTTTAGTGTATCTCCGTATGTAAGCGTACGGCGTCTGTTGCATAAAAGCTGCTGCGCATTTCTGTTTTTATTAGATTTTATAGCAACGACAAACCTAACTCGAAGAAGAAGTAGTCAACCTCCAGGCGTGCACCGGAGAGAAAACTCTATTTATTTCCCGTTTCTTCTTTTACTTACTTACAATATAT